CCCGCCCTCCCTTCCGCCCTCCCTCCCCCCGCTCTCGCACCTCTTGCGCCCCTAGAAAGCTGATCACTTCCGAGAGCACGTTCAGATTCAAACTCTCCAGCAGTGTAGCAGCGGGGTCGCTGTGTCGTAGAAGGGAAGAGCGTATTCAGGAGGGGATAAAACGGAGGAGTAGACGGTGGGGAGGGAGGGAGAGAGGGAAGGAGAGGGGGAGGGAGGGAATACCTGTGCGAAGTTGCCGGTATCACTCGTCCCCTCAACGCGGTTCCCGTCATCCTCCTAACCGCACGCTTCGCGCCAGCGCGTCGGCACTTGACCCCTCCGGACGCCTTCTTCTGCCGGGTATCTTTTCCCGGACACGGAGGTACCAGGGAAGTGGACAGGCCCCGCCCAGAAACCGCCCCGTCGCGTCCTCCTCCTCCTCCTCCCACGTTGCCTCCTCCCTCCGCACCTCCTCCGCTCGAACCCCCACTCGAGGCCCCTCCCTCTTCTCCCTCGCTGCCAATGCTTCCGCTGCGTTTGACCCGCTTGCTGTGCGATGTGGGTAGGCTCACGTGGTACATCCGACGTTTCCCGTTCCGAAGCCGGGGCATGCCTGTCTTTTTCGATCACTATTCAAGGGAGTTCGGGTCAGTGGAATGCAGTCACTCTTTCTATGTGTGATCATGCATGAACTTGTGCGGAGCGGGCCCAATGCAAGCTCTTTCTCGTCCTCCATTTCCCTCGCTCGCAGCCCTCTTTTCCCGACAAACCACAAAGACAACGTAATATACGTCCCGCCAAATAAGGTGCTTACCTAGCTACGGTGAGTTGAATTTTGGCCAATGGTTTTCAAATTTTGATACCTTTCTAATGAGAACCGTGACGAGGACGAAGAGACAGGCCCGCCTGCCGTCTCCTCGAGCGCGATCAGTCCCGAAGGTGGGATCAGACAAGTCCTCCGAAAGCTGAAAAGACCCAAGTATGCCTGTATGTGTACGTAATTTGGCTTTTTATTCCGTGAAGATATCAACGGCGGGACACTGCCTGCACGCTGGACAAATCCTCCCACAATGCGCAAAGAGTGGTGCCCTCCACGACGACACATCATCGTCCGGCTCCGTAAAGAGGCTTGCAAAGGCCAATTTTACACACTCTTGTCCTTCTTAGGGCATACAGCTCCCCTTATATGTTTAATAGATAAATGATTCATGAAATATATGGTGTATTTAAGTGCTTGTTGTCTTATAACAAAGGCGATTAGATGGAGAATCCCGCCCCTTGCCCAAGCCCAGCTCTCTCTGGGTCTGTCGATGCGTTTTGACCCTAAACAATACCGGTTAACGACCACAAAGTGTATCACAGATCAAGAAACCCACAGAAATGGGTATCTCACACAAGAACGACGAGTTGTCGAGGCGCGGAAAGTTCGCCGTGATGCGATCGTAGGTGGCTGAGGCCTTGATGGGAGCCTGAACCCCTTCAAACCCTTGAAAATAAAAAGAGGAAAAAGGCTCCGGCCGATCGTTCTCGTGAGGGTCTGGGGGCATTCCAAAAAATCTCACAACTTATTCAACAATCATTATTTCTCCCATAGATTGATATGTGTTTATTCATAAAAATTTTGCGCATCGAATTCTGAAATTTTTGTTACAGGCAAAAGCTTCTTTATAATTATTTTGGCTTCCCTTACAGGCGCGTGTTTGCTCTATTTTTTTCTCCTCAAGTGTTCGTCGTCTTGCACACGACGCCTCGCCCACCGTCTCTCTTTTCTCGTTCAAGACCGATTCACTTCTACCATGAACATAAAATCAATTCGCTTAATTCAATAGATAGGAAGTTAACGTACAAATACTAGGGAGTTCTACGGATTTTGATGGTTTCTGCGCTGTGCATTATGGTGTTGTATCCACCTGATCTATGAGGAGATTTGAATTCCTAAACTGCTGTCGCGATAAACGGTTTTTCAGCAGACCCCGTCCTGATAGCTTTCCCTTTGCACATCATCTTTGTGAACAACGTAGCTCAAGCGCACGGTAAGTACCACTCTCATAGATGAAAAATGATTAAATAAAATAAAAGACAGTGGAAGAGGACTTCTTATGCCTCATAGACTACGAAAAGCGCGTTGCATTTTCTGGTTGAAATGAAGTTCCACTTCGAGCTATCATCCAAGCTAAAGCCTTAGAGACGACCAGCTTTTTACCGATTCATTCTTGCGTTAATAAAAAGAATAGAATAGAAATCATTTGATATTACATGCATTGGATTGACGACGTCTAGGTCTGCTACAACCTCTTGGATGGTGTTTGGGATGCGGATGTTTACCATTTGTTCTTGTGAAGTCGCTTCTGATAAAATGGCAAAGGAATGAACAGGACTCAGCGTTAAAAAAATTGCGAGTAAAGAATATCGATCGGCGAATAGGAATAAGTCAGACTAAAACAATACGATGAAGGGCGTAAATAGGAATTAATACGTTACATCGAGCAACAATTATCCGTGAAAAATCACGTAGTCGTTCTGAGGCGGACCTAGGTAGTACTTTCAGAGTAGGGACCTACCCTTTAACGATTATTCGATAAGTGAAAGAGAAAAGAAACAATGAAACAAAAGCTATCAGATTCTTAAAAGCTTGATATGAAAGCGGCAACGAATTCAATGAACATGTTGTGCTGAACAGGGTCACCAAATAAAGTCATCCAAAGGGCATGGTATCGACGAGAGTGAACAAGGCAATCCAGATGAGGCAACAACCGTAATGGCCCGGTGCCGCAATGCATATAGTAAGATTACTCCATTCTTGAATGCTACCTTGTTTCATATTATTTCAGAAAGGTGCCAACAATGAACTCATGGTGTATTATGTAATCTGAAGGAGGCTTGAGAGCGGGCGAGCACACGTACGTCTCACTTTTTCCTTCCAATTTTCTGTCATATTTCTGTCAATTTCTGGATCAGTGTACATTTGAAAAACAACATCTGTCAGAAACTTGTGCTAAGGGTATCAAATAGCACTTTAGACAGCATCCATGGGTAAGACTTAAGCGGACTGGCGCTTGTCTCCCCGTCAAACAAAATTTTGATAAGAAGCTAATGATTTCCTCTTATCTCAAGACAAGCTCACAAAACGTACCCAGAATCAAAATATCTCAGCTTGCACAAGATGTTTCGTACACCTTGAAAATTAAAACAAGAAATAATCCAATATTTCTGGTTATTTATGTGGAATGCCCCTTTAGTAGGGCTTGGGGTCCGTTCCGATCTTCCTGCCGCCTGCTTCGCGCCAAAAATTCATCCTCTGAAGACTGTGCTCGTGCATCGTCATCGGCGTTCCATGGCAGTGACTGCGTAACAATAACCAGCGTGCCGGGCGGATGGCGCACAACATGTACCGCTGTAGACGGAGATAAGTGCTTGGTCTCCAGGACGCCACAGTGGGGAGCTAGACTCTGGGAGCTGGATCAGGACGATTGTGCTATCAAGCAGAAGATGTCCTTGGAGTCGTCGCTGAGTCGTACCTCTCATCCCGCTTGGGCAACATGATTAAATTACC